GCTGTCAATGAAGAAAGAATGAAGATCTTTATCCTGACATTTGCTTGGAAAATTAAGAGCTACAGAGTTTTAGGAATAATTTGTCTTCATTGGATAGAATCTTACTTTTCCCCCAAATATAAGTTATGTGGTTGAGCATTCTTAACCATAAACTAGCAGACTTTGAGAACCTATCCTAGATTTTTTTTTCTTTAATAGTGGTCTACATTCTTTGTGGTTATGATCAATAAATTAAAGAATTATCAGAAAGAAAGAAAAAAGAAACAAAGAAAAAGGAAGGAAGGAAGGAAAGAAAGAAAGAAAATTCATTGAGCTATTGAATATCCGTTTCCCTTAGTGATAGCAATGCTGGCCATATAGCCCAAGAAGTTCAAATACAAAGGAGGAAGTCCCATTAATCCAAAATATTTCTAAAAAGCATTTTTATGATAGCAAAAAAAAAATTGAACAAAGAAGCTGAACAAATTTTGGTGTAAGAATATAATGGAATTTTATTGCACCATAAGAATGGATGAATGTGAGGAATTTCAAGAACATGAGGAGACGTATAAATTGATAAAGAGAATATAAGCCAAAAAAAAAGAGGATGCTAATACAATTGTTGCAATAATGTAAACAAAAGGAGCACTAAAAGTTTAGAAATTAAATCGATTAATGATGCTAACTAATCTCAGTCTCAAAGAAATAATGAAATACACCTCCCTCTTCTCAGTGAAGGTTCTGGGACTACAAATATAGAATATGGTCTAGACTGTCAGACATAATCACTTGCCTGTTGTTTGTACTTCAGCATTTCCCTTTTGAAAAAAAAAATAGGAGTGTTCAGTACAATCTGGGAGGTTAAGGGGAAATGACATAAAAATGAAAAGCAAAAGCAAATCTTTCAAAAACCAATAAACGCATTTCATTATTCTGGCTTCAGCCCAGTGGTCTAGTGTGTCAAGGTCATGTAGGGGATGAGACTCCAGAAATGAAGGTAGTGCAGACTGAATTAGTCTGGAAGTCCCCATTCCCCCATTTTAAACCAAGCCACATCAATAACCCTCTGGGAAGCCAAGAAGCAGTACTGACAACAGGATGTTGTGTCACAGTGTGTGTGTGTGTGCACATCTCAGCACTTCAGGCGCAAGATGAATTTATAAACCATACCCCGATAGCCCTCCTACCTTTCACTGGCAACGTTGCTCCGAGCTGGCATAACACTGCCCAACAGATCTTATCATCACAGAACACATATGTACCCATTCATTCTATAAATGGAGGAGTTCATGTGCATTTACTGTATTTCACTCATGCTGAGTGTTTGATGTCAATTAAAGGTACTTCAGCAAAATTCAAGGTGCAAAGTGGTTTTAACAAATTGACTCTGCACAGACAGAAGACCAAATCCATTTCTGATTAATTAGTGCTTGCAAAACTCAGCAGAATCTTCCAAACTTATCAATTACTACCCTTTTCAATTAGAGGCTTTATTGACTAAATCTGTACTTTGGATTCATGTTATTTCCTGAACTGATGATGTCAGCTGATTTTTAATACCAGGCACTCCCAGCCATTATCTTAACAATATTGGCAAAGAATGAAGACTCAATATGGTATTAAAATATTAAAAGTATTTTGTTTTTTGAAAAATATTTTAAAGGGGCCCAAAAAATAGAAAAAAAGCTTTACATCTCCAATTCTTCTAAATACTCATTAGTCAGTAGAACCATAGACAATATACTCTTTTAGCAAAATATTAAACCACACATCCAATATTTTATGAGAAAAACTGTCTTTGGCTCCTTTTGAACATATCAGTTTGAGATATCAAGCTGCTTTCCACCAATAAACTTTACCAGATATACACAGATTTTCTTTGGAAATTTCATATTTTAAGAAATTATGTTAATTGTTCCTCCTTTTCAAAACTGTGTATTTGAACACACCCATTGTTTTCCTTGACATTTTCTTTTCAATAGTATTTAATACATCTTCTTTTATCATTTGGAATGTGACTTATATGCTGTTGACTTTGTCCAGATCTGTGATTTCACTGGTATAGAGAACTCCCAACTTGGGGACTCACTGCAATGATGCAGATTAGCAACCCATCTTAAATGGTTGTCTGGACTTGTTTTTGTTTGTCCTTCATTCTCAAAGAAGACCGTGACTTCAGGAAGGCGGTGCCATGATATGCAAGTGAATTGGATTTAAGTGACAGAGGGCTGTGCAAAGTCACCAGGCTCACTTTCTCCTTGGAGCCATCTGGGTCCAGTGGCCAGATATAGGTCAGGATGACTGGAGATGGCCCTAGATGCAATGGGAGATGAGTAAGAGACGAAGGAAGGTACAGGAAAATACTAGCTGAAAACAAATCGAATGTGCCATGGCTGGTAGTCACAGTAGCAGGCGATAAGATCAAAGATTAGAAATGAATTTTGGGGAAAGATTTCGGAGAGAACAGATCTGTGTTTCCAGGTCTTGAAGAAGACTTTGAAGGTCCTCCACCCCCAGAAACTAAGCAGCATCAGCCAGCCAAGCATAGATTGTCCCTCCAGACCACTCTGTCCTCCCTAAATGATCCCTAAGGATCACTGAGAGGCTGAATGACTTGCTTAGTGTCAGAGAGTTAATATGTATCAGAGGCAGAATCTGAACTCAGGTCTTCCTGATCCTAAAGCTACCTGTAATCATCTATATAGCACTGTCTTTCTGGTACTTATGCTAAGCATATGGGATCATAAATTTAGAGATGCAAGGAACCCCAGAGGTCATCTAGTCCAATGCCTTCATTTTACAATCAACTTGCTAAGCCATTTTATGAAGTGATAGGATGCCAGACAAGAGATCTGCTCTAGTTAGCTGTTGTATTCTGTTATACCCTCTAGGTTCTATATAAGAACATCAAATTAGCTGGAATGGGAGTTTTTTCCAGAAATTGGAATGAAGTATGTCTTTATTAGCAGATTCCTAAGGAAAAAAAAACACATTTCAGGGAGGGGAGAGAAAGGCTTCTGCCTTAGCCTTGGCTAGGTCTCCTCTCCAACACCTATAACTGCAAGAGGCACTTCCAGCTTCTTAGAGTGGTAGATTCCCCTGGGTGTCCTAAAAACTGTCTTTGTATTAGCTGATGATATGTCTGCACAAGGATATGGACGGAGATTGACCATGCTTAAAGGAAACTCTGTAGTTATCCCACAAAAAGGAGAAAAGGACTTCCAAAAACCAGAAGCTCCTTTGCCCTTGAGCCCAGTTTCCCCTTGACTCTGTGCTTTGGGGAAAATGGGCACAAACATCTAGGGCAGACATATTGTACCAACTGTGCTTATCGTATCCCCTTTCTAAAAAACTGTAAAAGGTTGGCTGACTAAATGGTTCTCGACTGATAAATCTTCAGGGGAAAGCACACCAGTGAGGCCTCGAGCCATTGGAATTAGAAAATCACTCCTGACCCATCAAGGGTACCCTTTGAGTCCTGAAGGGGAGAGGTCTAGGGACCCAACTAATTAGGGTGAGTGGAAGTTGAAATAAGGAATCTCAGAGCATACACAGACTACATTATGATGCAAATCCCAAAAGGCAGAACCTTTACAAAATTTCATGAGTTTTCATTTGATGTTTAGCATGGCTGTTTCTCCTTCATCTATAAAAGGAGATGAGAAGGGCTCCCTATCCCTACCTAGCAGTCTGATGTGAGAAATAACTAATGAGACCAAAGCAAAATCATTTGGTATTTATTGTAGCCAAGGCAGTGTGGCGTAATATAGAGAGCTAGCCTCAGACTCAGCAAAACCTAGGATCAAGTCCAGCCTTCGACATATACCTATTCTGTATCCGTGATCAGGTTGAGTCACTTCTTATGCTTCAGGCAACTCTTAATGATTTTAAGATACAGACCAGGTTCTGACCTGCATTGTTAGAGGCAGCACCTATATCAAGAATTACCTTCACTGATCATCTACAACTTTTTTTCATCATACAACCCTATCAGTTAAAAAAAAATGAGCACAAACTTCCACATTGAAGGGCATTTCCATATTCCCATGGAATAAGGAAGTTGGGAGCAGCAAAGGTTGACGTGACAGCCGGCCTCAATATTTGAAAGATTATCATGTGAAAGATATGAGTTGATTTGTTCTGTTTGTTCCCAAAAAGGCAAAATAGGAATGGGAGTGGGAATTTCTTTTTTCAGTTATGGGTTGGACTGAATGGCTGATGGCTGTCTTCCAACTCTCGCATTCTGAGATTCTGTGAAATCAAATACCCTCCCCCACACCAAAATTAATCAGAACACCAACTTAGTAGCAGGTACTAGACATCAAATAAGATTATATTTGTGTATCCTTTTCCACCCTTTTTTCTTTTGTGTATTTTTTGTTTTATTTGTGCTTTTTTTTTGCTTTTATCGCTACCGACCTATCACCCCCCACATACACTAAGAAGTCTTCCTTTAAGATGCTCACAGTTTCTTATACAATACTTTCTTGTTCTTCAAATATTGAAATGTTCATGTGCATTGATGATTAAGTTCTTAATACAAATAAAATTTACAGGCCTAAAAATAGTTAAAGATTGTTTCAATTGTCCCATCTATGAAATGCATCATTTGCTTTACTTAAGGAAAAACAGTCATCAGCCTTGCTGAGCACAGGGGGAAAAAAGCATGAATCATTTCTATGCAAATTTTTAATATTACCTAAGTGCTGGATTTGGCATTTTTAAGGTTCTGGGGTTTTCTTTACCTGTTAACAAAATAAAATATCATGATTTCCACAAATCAGTGAGGCCTGGCATTAGCAAGATGCTGCTCTAGACAAAGAAAGAGCTATCTGACATGATTAATCAGTGGCACAAATGACAAAATTGAAAACTTAATAGTCCTCCTACTCAGGAAAAAAGAACACGTCAAGAATTGTCATTAGAGAAAATGATGTACAGCCATCTAGCTGCACTGAGATGTCTACAGTAGGGCTGAGATGTTTGGGCTGAGTGAGTAATGGATTCTACATGTTTTTCAGTGTTTCAGCAGAAGACCAGCAGACCCCAGCATGATGGTGACAAGCTCCAGGCTCCTGTCAAAAAGTCAGGTACTGAAACTCTCCAGTATTGCCAACTGTTTCTTGAAAAGCATCATGGGAATATTTCCTTGGCTTCCTGATGCTGACGAAAGCTGCCTCCCTAGGGAACAAAAGCAGCTGCTTCATTGGTTTCATATAGTTTGGCACTGATTAAGTTGTATTTCAAATATCCTTCTCAGGAAGTGAAACAAAAGCAATATGTTTACCCAGGAAAGCCAGAAATGGGCCTGGAAGAATGTGGTTTAGTTATGTAGCTATTTTTTTTTATACTAGACTTATGATATCATTAATATAAGGAGCTCCCGTTGAGGAAATTCCTTCTACCTATGTAGGCCAAAACCTGTTCCATAACACAGTATGACAGAATATACTGTCCTGCCCATCTGGAGTCACAGAACTTAGGTTCCCATCCCATCTCTGATATTTCCTATCTATTGAACCTTGGACAGGTCACTTAACTCCCTGAACCTCAGTTATATCATATTTAACATTAGGTAATTAGGTTTGATGGCCCCAAGATCCCTTCCAAACTTAAACCTAAAACCCAATGGCCATATAGTCTTATGGGACATTGAAAGGTTAAGTGACTTGCCCAGGGTCACACAGCCATATGTCAGATGAAAAACTTGAATCTCTGTTTTTCAACACTAAAGCTGGCTCTCCATCTGCTACATTAAGCCATATGGAGGACAAATTGAGAGCCAAGTCCTCTGAGACAGGAATTGGGACCAATTTTTCATAAATAGTTAGACTAGAGATTCTTAACACAGAGTCCTTTTTTCATATTTTCATAACTGTATTTTGGTATAATTGGTTTCCTTTGTAGTAGTATGCACTGTATATATTTAAAAGCATTATTCTGAGAAGGGATCCTTCAGGTTCACCAGACCACCAAAGAGCAGTCTTAATTTTAAAAATAAGCAAAAAAAAAAATTGAGACTCTCTGATTTAGAAGGAAGCTCTGGATATTTCCTTGGTTGGGTGCGGCAGACCTCATCCAGTCTACATGCTAATGAAGTGATTCTCCATGTGACCTCTTTGCTCTGGCACCAAATTTGAAGCAGGCACTAGATCTCCTTTCTGTCTTTTTCTTACGAAATCCAATCCACACTGCCAAGGGTTGAAGCCATAAGCTTCGTTTACCACCAGCCCAAAGACAGTATTTTCCTCTGAAGTTCCATATTAACCCAGTTTCAAGAGAACAAGGGAAGGGGGTAAGAGATGCTCTCCATCTCTTCTTAAGATACATAGAAAGAAGAAATAGGGAAACTATTTTTCATTGTCCACTGACAGGTTTTTTGTTCAATTTGTTTTGTTTTTTTAAGAAAAGGTGTTCAAGGGGTGAAGAGTAATTCACTACTTAGCCCTAAAAATTTTAATTAGCTTTTGAAATGGTTCAGGTTTTTAAATCACATGACACTTCCAGCCCAACCTATTATCTATAGATAGACAAAGAATAAAATCAAATGAAACCAGGTATTTGAGGGAAGCTACCCAAACACACCCATGACTGGGTCCATTGGTATGAAGAAAGACAAGAATGAGTCAACTTCCTTCTTCTACAACATGGTGAAGTTCTGTAGGACCTGGAAGATCCTGATGCCAGAACCTACCCTAAATCTTTTTACAGATGAAGGTGACTGTCTGCTACCAGACTGGACCTTGAGGGGAGCCTCAACAGCCTAATCACCTGCCTCCCTCAACTAGACTCCCCCCCTCCCCAGAGAACGATACCCTGCCTGGATTCATTCTTCAATGATGAACAGATGCCTCTCCCTTCATACTATCTCCAACCCAGTACTTATGAACCCCTGACTACATAAATACATTTCTCAAAATATAATTTTAATATGAAAGTTGGAAGGGACTCCAGCAGCTATCTAGTCCAATCCATACCTGAAAAAAGAATTCCCACAATAACATACCTGATTAGTGATTTGCCACTTTTGTTTGAAAAAGTCTCTATCCACAACCATCTTCTCCCTTACTCCCATCACCCTCAGCCTTAACCAACCCTACCCCAATATTCCACTCCAGATCTACCCAACATTCCACCCTTGGAATGCCTGCTCTATTAATTAACAAAGGTCTTCATCTTAAATCGTTTACTTCTCATGCCTTCCATCTTCTGGCTCTCACTGAGACCTGGTTTCTTCCTGATCACATAGTATCTCTGGCCTCTGTTTTGAATTCTGTTTGTATTTTCAGTGATATTGCAAAGTTTTAAAAGAATGCAAGTGATTTTAAATGTGTCTACATTCATCAATTCAACTGTTAATCCAGGGCAAGTTCTTAGTTCTTAGAGTAATCTTTCATAAAAAAGAAAGGATTTCAATGCAATATATAACAAAGCTCATCTCAGGCTATCATGTGGTACCTAGATATTCTGCCCATGGGTTATTTTATTATCATAAACTCATGTAATTGATGGGTTCTTGATTTTTTCTGATTTCGTGAATAGTTGGAGGTAAGATAATTATTTCCTTAGAATCCACTTCCATTCTCCCTCTGGACTTGCAATTTTCAAAGAAAAGAAATGAAAGTCCTCCAGGTAGATGCAGCTGTTGTGCAATTAGGATCCCTAAAATTGCTTCAGAGCCTGGATGGAAGAGACAAGATTATTATTCCCCACTGGGGTACCCCCAAAATACCTCACAGGACTATTTTGAGAGTCAATAAGGGAGTGTATATGTAGTGATTTGAACTCCTTGAAAGGAAAGCATCCTTAAATATTCATATTATAATTATTCAGTTATCATAGTTTCAATTATTTTCTACTATATATAAAAACAGGGACAGAAAAAGTTCAACCCATCATTATGGCATTCAGTAAAGGACAGGGCAGCAAAACTCAAGCTTTACCTGATTTTGCTTATCCCTAAGGGCTTCAAGGATGGGTCCGACAATGGCTCCTATATCTGTTGATTGTCCAAGGTCCAGACTATCTCATCACTAGAAGGTTGGCCACGAGGTGATACATTTTTTTCTTCAGCTAAAACAATTCATAAGGGCCACCTATTAAGGTAAAAGAAAAAAAGGTGTAATCTACACAGATGCAGCAAGTAGGAAATTAGGGATCCTTAAAGTACTTTAGAGATCATTTAGCCCCACCCCTTTCGCATTATTGATCAGGACAGTGAGACCCAAAGAGGAAAAATTGTTTGCCCAAGATTATAAGGCTCTTAACTAATAAAGGATCCTGCTGGTGGGGATGCTGGTAGGAATTCTTAATGGGGAACTTTCTATTTCTTCAACTGCAGAAATAAAGTGATAAGACGGTAGGAAAGGCATAGTATAGGAAAATGAAATGTAATCAGGATTTAATTAGGACAGCCTCTGATCCATCTGATTCATTCTCCAGTCCACTAGATGAGATTATAGAGTATGACACTTCCTCTGGGAGATAGATAGATGTGGGACTTTGCCAAGAAAAGGCGTTCCTGAAGGGAATCTCCATTTCTTACATGATCAAAAAACTGAGAGGGATAGAAGTAGGAGGGAGAGAAAATAGATTTCCATTCATTGTTTTTATTTACTCAAAAATAGAAGGTATAAAAAATATAATCAACAGAGTTTTAGATAGTTAGAATATATAATGCTGACTTGCTCAGGCTAACTGTTGCAATTCAATTCAAGAAATGTATATTCATCGCCGGAAATACAAAGGTGATTCACTCACTCTCTACCCTCAAGGAGCTTTCCACTTAATAGTGAAGATAAATCCTACACACTAATACTAATAGCAATAATAATATCTAGTATTTCTGTTCTACCTATTACATGCCAGGCACTGTACTTTATAAATATTATATCATTTTTTCCTTATAATAACCCTGGGAAGTAAGTGCTGGGCCTAGGATTAAGAAGTCTTGTTCAAATCTGACCTCAGACACTTACTATATGTGTGACCCTGGGCAAGTCACTTGACCCTGTTTTCTTCAGTTTCCTCATCTGTAAAATGAGCTAGAGAAGGAAACGACAGACCACTCCAGTATCCCCATTTTACAGTTGAAACTGGGGCAGAGATTAAGTGACTTGCCCAGGGTCACATGTCTAGTAAGGGTCTAAGGCCAGATTTGAACTCAAAACCTCTTAATTCTAGGCCCAGAACTCTATCCATATTCCACTTAACTATGATATAAAGGGAAATGAAAAAAGTACAAAGGAGAAGAAGAAGGGGCTATGAAAAATTTGAGGCAGACAAGATTTTCAAGTGAAGGAAGGTTCTAAAGATGGTTATAAGTACATTCTGATAGGGGTAGCTTCATGAAGGAGCTGTCACATGAGCTGGGCCTTGAATGACAGGAAGAATGGAGAATGAATGGAGAATGACAGGAGGAATGGAGGAATGATGAGAAGAGGAGAAAGGGGTCAACAGAGTGCCCAGCTCTTCAGTGAGAGGTGTCCTGAAGTTTGCCCCAAAAGTGTGTCATGCAGTGAATGGAAGGGTACTTCATAGATGATTTTGAATTAAACTATGTTAATAGCTATAACATAATAACTTCTGCAGTAATGCATTGGGAAACCATAATTGAATAATAATAAATGACATGTATACAGATATCTCTTTATAATTGTACATGCCTTATCACATTTGAGGTTTATATTCCCACATTGTGAGATAGGTCCTAATGGTATTATTTTAGAGCTCAGAAAAATGAGGCTCAGAAAGTCTAAATAGGTTGCCTATGGTCACACCACTAATGAGTATCAAAGATGGGACTCAAACCTATGAAAAATGAAGAATATTGTGCTTAGAATAATATTCTGAATGCATAACAGCAGCCTAAAATAGCCTACTGAGTAATTAATGGGTCACAAGTTATTTTAGGTGGTTTGATTTCTTTTCTATATGTTGCTTTTTGCTATCTTTTCCTTTCTTAAGGTAGAAAGATGTAATATATTCACATTTGCACTCACTAATGCTAGTCTGCCTAATTGGCAATTAATCAAATTTTTTGAACTTTCTAATGGAAAAGTACAAGTCTGGGAAATGTCAGTCCCTTCCT